GGAACTCCATCATCTTCTTCCGAACTTCCCCGTTTGAGTGGTTCCGGTTTGACTTTACCGAAATGAATTGGCTTTTGCCCTTTCCTTTTGGATGGGACTTTGAAGAAAGCCTTCTGTGCATCTTCTACTCCTTCATCTGAGGTGAAGAATGACTTGATTGGCAATGTGATCATTCTCTATTTGTTTATTTTTAGAGGACACATCAGACAAGTACGTCAAAATAAAATCTTCATTAATGTACCATTCACCCTCGCTCGGTATATTATTATTACTCTTATCCTGACCCATTACATCTAGATTCAATTCCCATGGACAATCTTCTTCAGGATCCGGTTCAATGTCAACTTCGTTGCCGCTGTCCACATCTTCTTTCTCTTGGGATTCCAGATAGAAGACGGAATCAGTGTGAAAGTTTTCCACTCCTCTGAATGGATACTTCTTCGCAATTAGGGTTCGAACTTCTCCTTCATCATTAGCATATTTCATAACCTGATGTAGAATAGATGGGACAATGCGGTTTGAGTGAATCCATGGTCATCCCAATAATAGATTGTAAGACGTGTCCGCGTTTATGATATAACAGGTCACTTCAGATTTGAGATCTCTAATTTGACACCTGAGCTTGATCTTTCCCAGGGGCCGAGTGTTGTTAGCGTTGAACCCAAAGATGGTAGTCTGAGTGGTGTTCAGCCGATGCATAGGAATCCCTAAGACCTGCATGACCTTGTAGGGCATGATGCTGAGCGCTGAGCCCGGGTCAACTTGGACACGACTGATTTTAGAAGATCCGATATATCCCGTGTAGTACAGTGGTTTGTCATGCTTGTGCTTGACCTGCATATCCTCTTGAGTAAACGATATGCAGGGTAGACTTCTCGCCGCTTGCAGACATTGCAGACAAGGTTGGTATTCAGAAGCTTCAGGGATTGGAGCGACTTGTGTAATGAAGCTCTCCGTATTCTTTAATGCTTCAATTAGAGCTTCCTTGGTTGTTTTGGACAACCTTAGGAGCTCATATAGAGTAATCCTGGCCGGTATGTTGGCTAACTGCGCTATGACATTGAATTGGAAGGGAGTGCTCGACTCCCCAAGTTCCTGGTGAAGATTTTTGTTGAACCGGAACTCCTTTTGCTTTCCTTTATCTACCAGCTTCTTTGGTACAGAACCCCCAGCGTCTTGGGGCCGTTCTTCAGCTTCTTGAACATTTTAGTTGTAGTCTCTCAAGTAAGCCTTTCCTGACCGCGTTCCAGGGTTGTCTCCTGGGTATGCCGCCAGGGCAATCCTTTCTTCCTCTGAATCAGTAAGAGGTTTGAGGTAGTCGTCGCTCTCAGTAACGGAGAGCCTAATCGTATTAGAAGACTTAGCCTTTCCGTCTTTCTTCTTGGACGAGGTGTTCGTCCACTGTTGGTCTCCCACCAGGTCGGGATGTACCCACATGATCTTCCCTTTTAGGGTAGTAAGGGGTATCAACCCCCTGTCCTTTTGACTGTACAAGTTAGTGTTTTTCATATGCATCTCTCCCTTGTAGACGGGAATGACGTTATTTGCAGTTGCTACCGGCGGGAAGTCACCAAATTGGACCGCTATTAAGTTGGTGAACATGGTCTTCTGCTCGAGCTTCAGGGTGAGTACGTTTGCATTTACCAGGTTTTGTAAAATGTCTTTGAAGACATAATATTTTCTTGTAGGGTGGCCCAGGAACCTGTGATAACGGCAATAATTAGGATCATCGACTTTTCATGCCTCATCTGGTTTCCTGATTTTGGGAAGTTGTAACTTGTTGTTCTTCCGAAGTAGTTGGAACAAGGTGTCCACATGCTCTTCCTTGAACTAATATTGCTTGGGTGCTCTTTGCTGATTTGGTGCCTTGCCTTGCTTAGTGGGTGGTGATACTCACGTATTGGCATCAGCCGCCAAAGTCTCCTTTCCTTTAGACCGCTGGGCATTGTGCTGGTTGTGTTGCTGTTGCGGTTTGGGTTGTACGACTTCTTCAGCCTTAACGCGAGCAACTATTTCTTCAGCTTGTTCTCCCTGCGAAACCAGCTATCTCCAGGAGCGACATTCCGCCACCCCCATCTAAGCGAGGAGTTGGGTCTGCAAATTGTACCTGCAAGTTTTAACCAAAGTTGATTGAGTCATATCTGACGGGCATCGCAGTGCCATGCTGCGAAATCTCTCAACATATGCCTTGATGGACTCTCCTTTCCTTTGTTTAGTGGCTAGAAGAGTCGGGACCGAGACCTCCGTATCGTCCTCAAAGAACCTGGCTAAGAATAGCCTTTCCAAATCCACCCATTTCTGAATAGATCCAACAGGCAGCTTCATAAACCACTCAAAGGCGACACCCTTGAGGGTACCGATGAATAGCCGGGTCAGAATGGCGTTGTTCGCTACCACGTCTCCAGTCTGTGACTTGAAGTAGTAGATGTGCTGATTCGGTGATCCGGTACCATCGAACGGTTGCAAGGTAGGTGCCTTAAACTTAGGTGGGTAAGGGGCTGTGTCCCACTCAGCGGGATAAGGCCGCACGACCCCTTCTTTGTGGAGCTCGCTTCTGTTAGCGATTGCATTGAGGCGAGCCTCCAGTTCGTCCACTTTAGCAGACTGCGGATGCAGTTCTCTTTCTGTCTCCTTCTCGTTTTCAGAGGAGGATTCCAAGTTGTGAGTTTCACGATCCGAATGTTCAGTCGATTTTTGCTTTCCCTTTGATGTGGTTCTTCGGGAAGATTCAGGTCTTTGGCCTTTTTCGGCAAGGAGCTGGGCCAACATTTGCATAACCTTATGTGCAATCGTGTAACAGTTGACCAGACCCTAACTAAGATGAAGAAACTCGTAAAATATCCAAGATCTGAGTTGGAGCAGGTCCATACATATGTATTGAATAATCTTAAAATTTTTAGAGATTATCAAAGGTAATATATAATAAATTTGTGAATAGGATTACACATGAATTATTTACATTCATAAATACCAATACAATCTCATTGTTGTATAAATAGGTAATATCTGTAGAAGCTTAAGAATGAAATATCATGTACGAGTGCAGCATATGATATTCAGAAAAAACACATCAAAGATTTTCCCGATTGGTTCAGAACTGATGTAAGTAGTGTAGCAAAAGTATTGTAACTTTCATTTTTTAATTTTTAAGCAAACTCGAAGATCACTATTTTCGATTTATGTTTGGTTTAGATTGATAAAGACCTTCTCGTTGGTACCTTAATATCTGAAGAAGTTTTAGTTCACACACAATGTCCTTATTATCAAGTGAGACGATATGGTGAACACATCATTAATGGGGATAAGTTTAAAACAATGGCGACCGGTGATAAGAGGGTAACACAAAATAGCGGGGTCATGGGTTGTTTTGCTCAGGAATGTTTTTCTAGCATAAGAGATCAGAACCCGGTTGAAGCTAATATATTATATTATGGCCAGTTGGAAGATATTGTAGATATAATTTACGGATATGGCAAAAAACTCAGCGTAATTACATCATGTTTAAGGTTCGACGGAGTTCTGCCAAACCGCGAAAGGATCATTATAGGTTTACACTTGTCAATCTCAACAAAGAGATATATCTAGATGAGAAGTTCATATTCGCAGAACAGACGGACTACTACTTCTATGTGAAAGACCCAAAGGTTTCCACCGATTGGGTTGTGTTATATAAGGAGCCAAGATCTATTGTCCTTCCTAATAAAAACAATGATAGCGATGAGGGCAATGAACCAATTGGTTCATCTGATGATATTTGGCAAAACTTCTCCTACCCTCAGAATGTCATGCTTGATACGACTGATTCAGAGATTCAGGCTGACATCCCAATTTTAGTTAGAGATAGAGACCCCGAGTCAAATGTGCAAACAAATACAACAACTAGCAGGCGAAAGCAAACAGCGTTAGATATAGCAGGCCGACATCCCAACTTTTAGATTTCTTGCTTGGACCAAAGATGTTATCATATGCTATTTTCTACTCTACGCACAGTTGCAAGCATTCTTTTTCAAGTTCCTGCAGAGTAACAATATGTATTAACTCGAAACAAATAATTTTTTGTTGCGTACAAATGCATATGAAATATATTTTACAATTTAATTAGTTTGCTAATTACTTTATTCGACTCAATTGTTACTGACATGCCGTCTTGAACTCCACCATCTGGTAGACCTCCAACTTTCAATATTATTAAAACTATATATATTTAAAGTGAATAAAATTCAAAAACCATCATAAATTATCTTCCGTTAAAGAAATATACTATATTGAATCTAAGGTCTTATGTAAGAAGTCTTACCCAGGATTTTGAAATAGCTTCCATTCATAGTAACCACAGATGGTTCGTCGATCTGGATGTTGATTATATTAAGTTTTAGTAACTATTTCCTTGTGGTTTAAATGTCTGAAAATATTGACATACATCAAAATTATCCAATCAAATTTCCCTCGATATGCACATTTCTCAACCAGAAACAAGTGCATCATAAGAAAGGAGGATTGGTCTATTAAGTGAAGAATAGCTAACATAGTACTTGCATTTGAACCTTTGCATATTATACATATTATTACAACAACAACACAACCCAAGCTCAATTTCATAGCATTGACCGCTCAAATCCTACATGAAGCCTGCACATACAAATAACCCAACCCTCAAATCGTGTAATATAATGGTAGCACGAAGATGTTTAAGAGATCCTTAGGGAATTAAAGCAACCCATCTTGACAAAATGTTCATTAAAATACAATATACTTGCAAGTTACCATCACTTCAGAGGAAAAAAATAAATTATGCACTATGCAACTTAATATGATGCATATAAACAAGGATTCATTGTCATATCATCTTCAGGGAAAAAAAAGAAAAAAACTTGAGATGATTCTTCTTTTTAATTTTTATGGCTAATTTGTCAATTACTACTTTCCCCCCTCAAAACCCACTTGTATTACATTACAATCTACTCTTAACTAAAAAAAAGAAACTTATCTTTGTTAAACAGGTTGGATGACTCTCTACGTGTTGATATTATCAGCTGTATCGACAATGATTCCTTGTGAGTTGATTATGTATTGGATGTATAATTTTATATGTAAGAGAGAGAGAGAGAGAGAGAGACATGATATGTATAAAAAAACATGTGTTTGATGTGTTTATACTGTAAAGTGGTATGCGTGAATGATTATAAATTGTTTTGAGCATAGTTTATTCGTTTGTATATATTGGTTGGCTTGTATCGGACTAATTTAAGTAATATGGTATGTGATTTAGACCGATATTTGGATTTTGGATTGTTGATTTGAAAGCTGGATTTGCATATTTGATTGGATGTGGATTATTATTGAATTTACAGGTTTATGTAATTATAGGGAATTCAAGAAAAGAAATTGCAAAAATTGTACAGAGATGATCCGTCTAGGATACTATCCCAGATGGAATTTTCGTCTAGGATGACCAAAGCATCCCAGGCAGAAAAGCCGTTTTGGTTGCATCCCAGACAAAAAACCATCTGCGATGATATCCCAGATGGCTTTTCCGTCTGAGCTGCATCCCAGATGGCTTTTCCATCTTGGATGCTATCTCAGACGTTTTTTCATCTGGGATACATCCCAGACGGATTTCCTTCTAGGATAATATCCTAGACGAAAAATATTTCCATCTACGATGTCCATCTAGGATGTTTTCTAGACGAGAATTTTTTTCGTCTGGGATATTCCATCTAGGATGTTTCCCAGATAAAAAATCCATCTAGGATACTATATCCTAGACGACAACTAATTAGACAAACATCCTAGACGGAATCTATCTGAGATAATCTATGTAGACGGAAATATAACTGTCCTAAACAGAAAATTCTGTCTACGATGCCTCATTTTGTACCAGTGAAATCAGATTTCCATGCCTATTTCCAACCTCTTTCACTCTTTAGTGAGTTGTATATTGCAAAGACCAGATAAGAGTATTGACAAGTCCACATGATTGAACTCAACGAAAATATCCTTAAACTATATACATTAAAGTCCACGTGTTTGCCTTACTTTATTTGTTAAGTTTCAAAGTTGCTTATTTTTCCAGCACCAATGGTGAAAGTTGATTCTTTATTAATAGGCATATCCTAGAGCAAAACAATTTTGTTACAAACATGAACCATGTTTTCAAAACTTGCAAATCATTTATGGAAAAGATAGGGCCGCTGGTTTAGCTTTTGAAACTGTCAAAAAAAGACGAGCTTGCATAGAAAATAAAAGAGATGAATCAAGTTCTATCAATACTAATCAAGAAGATGATAGTAAAACTGTTCAAGAGAATGACATAGAATGCATTCGCCCTTCAAAAGGTAAAGAACAAGATCCCAAAGCCCGTTCTGCATCGAGAACATCTTCAATGGTGATATATAAAAGAAAGCATGGTGTCTCTAGCAACTTGGGTGAAGAGCTTGATGGGCTTTTGCAATTTGGAAGACCGGTCCTCAATTTTACACAGAAGTGAAGATATTTGTGGAGCTTTTAAAAGTTGATGGGCGTAGTGAGGATGCACAACTTGTAGCCTACGAATATCTTACTGAGGATGTAGCTCGAGGAAGGAACTTCATTGGGTTACCAATTCATCGGAAGAAAAGGTGGTTGGAGATAAAGCTCAGATGGGCATCGCTCAATCTTTTGGTATCAGTATTAGGAGGTAATCTATTTTACACTCTAATTATATGTCTGCATTTTACCACCTAGTTCATAAGTTTAAGATATAATGACAAAAAAAACTGTTTAACATTCCTTTACCTAATATAACAGCCTGCCTTTCATAACAAAATTCACAAACATGAAAAAAAACTGTTTAACATTCCTTTACCTAATATAACAGCCTGCCTTTCATAACAAAATTCACAAACATGAAGTCTTAACTTAAATTCAGTAACTACCTAATATAACAGCCTGCCTTTCATAACAAAATTCACAAACATGAAGTCTTAACTTAAATTCAGTAACTTTCCTTTGCCTAATATAACAGCCTAATATTTTCACCTTATTGCTTTGTTCTCGTTTATTGAGAGATTATGTTTGTTTTGTGTCTTCCTTTTTTTTTAATTAAATGAGTTCTGGACTTTGTTTCATCTTACCATTTCTGATGGAAGTGGGGAATTACATAAGACTGTATATTATCCCTTCTCTATGCAATTGCCCTCTCATCGAAACTATTGAATGCATGTCTTTCTTTAATATTGCTGATGCTGCTGGCTCTAGCCATGGAGGAGTGACATATATCATGTAGAGCTATAATTATGGTAATAAACTCTGTTTGTGTAACGGGAGAGGTTGAAAGAATTTTCTTCTCAATATTTGGTAGTGGAATACTAATCATGCCTCCTGTATTGTTCATCTCCATTGGAATTTCTTGCTTGAAGTTGTAACCGTTGGTTGTTGCAGTATCTGTTCCTATATCCATGTGTATTTTCATGGAAAAGCAAAATGAATAAGCCCTAGGATTTCATAATTGTTCGGAAAATACTACTCTCACTATGAGACTTTTTATGTGAATGCAAATTAATTTCTGATGTATTGGCTGTCTACAATCCACTTTCATCATTTCTGATGATTAATCTTAAGAAAAGAACCATGACACGACAAGTGATAGTTTCATTTTTCTTCTAAAAGAATGTTAAGACTTTATTGTTTTTGATGTTTATATTGTACTTATTTGAATTTTTTTGAATTAATTTCAATGGATGAAGGATGTGAGATTAATATTTTGATGGCTCACTAAAGTTAAAAATCAAGGACTTCAACAGATTTATCTCTCTTTCTTTGTTTAAGATTTTCTATATGAAATTGATTGTAATAGACTTTGTTAGTAAATATTTTCTATATAAAATTGATTGTAATAGAATTTGTAACTATAAATGGATTAATCTATTTATTAGGAGTATCAAGACATTTACTTTAGATTTGTTTGGGTTCTTTCATTCACCTTTCTTTCTGTAAATATTATGTATGAGAATTAATGTTGTTCTCTAATTAGTGGAATTGTGGTTGTGCTTCTGCTTATTATTTACAAACTTGATGTTGATGATCACTCAAGTTTTTGTGTTAGGAAATTGCTAATTTTTTTAAATACATGTTTATTAACTTGTTACTTCCCATGATATAAATGATTCTGATTTTGAATAATATGCTTGAACTGCATCATTTTCTAGACCTTATTCGGAATCATCATTCTTCACCTGAGGTTATGAATAACTAGGGGTGTGCAATGGTCGGTTCAGTTCGGTTTTTACCAAAATTTGAACAACCGAACCGAACCGCCTATAATTCAAAACCGAACCGAACTGTTGCAAGTCGGTTTGGTGCGGTTCGGTTCGGTTTGTTCGGTTCTAACTTCATCAAACTTCTTATCAAACAACAAACTGTGTTAAAGAAAAAAATATCAACAAAGTAGGAGATTATAAAGCATTAAATACTGATATAATGATATTGTTTTCAACCCATAATGATCCAGAAAATGAGTTTAGAGTTTGAGTCTTTGACTCTTTGGTGATGAGTCGGGTAAGGTTTGAGATCAGAATGGGTAGTATTGTACTATATTCGGTCGGTTCGGGTTGAAAAGTTTTCAAACCGACCCGAACCGTCCTACTCATAAAACCGATTTTTTCGGGTCGGTTCGGGTCGGGTCGGTTCGGTCGGTTTTTTCGGTTTGGACCGAACCATGCTCAGCCCTATGAATAACTAGCAAGTCCAGAACCATGTAAGATTATAAGTAAATTAGAATCATCATAAATTTGACTCAATTTTGTTGAGTTAATATTGTGCAAACATATTCGGTAACTTATATATTTTTTGAAAATTTGGTAGAATCACAATTTAATTTAATTATTTTTTGTAAATTGTTTAAAATATAAATCTAATTCAAAAAATATGAATTAAAATTATGTTATGATAATTTTCTTCCTCATTTTCTCAGAAAGGTAACCAAACAAGAGAAAATGATTTTCATATAAATTTTCTTCTAACTTTCATTACAATATTCTTTCTAACAAAATAATAAAAAGAATATCATTTTCTTTTCTTTTTCTTTTTCTTTCTTTTTTTCTTTCTCTTTCCTTTTCTTTCCTCTCCCTTTCTCTGAAACCAAACATAGCCTTAGTCTTCGATCTTTTCGCGGCGCTCGCAGCAATAAAAGAACTGTTTGTTTCTCTCTCTTGACGAGAAGTGGCTAACAGTGGATTCTGGGCCTCAACTTTTTTTATAAGTACTAGCCCTTTAGAAGCCCATCATATTTTCGGCTTATTATGTAAAGGCTCTAATTTGGTTAATAAGTCACTATAGTTATTTGGTTAGAGTCTCTAGAATCTTTAATAATTCCATTTTAGTCCCTTAAATCTTTGACATTGTTCCTGAGTCCCTCAAATCCTAGGGGTCTTGCGATTTGGTCCCTCAATGACCAAAATACCCTCAACTTATGTCCTCCCCTCAAAATCATTTGTTCAAAAAACATTAGTCGTGGGCATTTTGGTCAGTGAGGGACCAAATTTCACGACACCCAAAAATTCGGAGACTTATGAGCAATTTTAAAGATTTGAGTGAGTGATATAGTATTATTGAAAACTTGAGCGGCTGGCATCTCAATGAAACCCAAAAAAATCTATGATTAATAAGTCATCTTTTTTGTGTCAAGATCCCAAGAGTAGGGGGATTTAGATTCTCTACACCATCAAAAAGTAGTGGACAGAATCATCATTTTTCATACATATAATTGGTTATTTAATGTATGGGTTGGATAATTGTAATCAATTCCAAAGATAACACTTATCATATCTCAAAGACACATTCTTTATTTTTGTTATTAATTTTTTTGACACTCAACAAAACAAATCACAATATTCCACTACTCAATCAATATATATATATATATATATATATATATATATATATAAAGTAGTGATTTCTCCACTACTTTTTAGTAGTTAAGAGGATCTGAATCCGAAAATAAGTCATCTTTTTGTAAGCTTTTCACAGCGGTGACGTCAAGAGTAAACAATAGATGATTGAGCCTAAAAATATTAATCTCTCTATTAATGGTCTCTACCTTATGAAATCTGTGTTTTTGCAATTGCTATCACGCTCTTGCTTTGATCTCGATATCAATTTTTCTCAACAAAAAAATCACACCAGTCCATTAGCTAATGACAAACTCCATTTATTTATATGCAATACCAAACACAATATCACACCAGTACCAAGTACATAATCAAACATAAAATATACATAGACATACAAGAGCAAACCTTAACATGCCATCATATATATATAGAGAGAGAGAGGGAGGGAGAGAGAGAGAGAGAGAGAGAGACACGACAGCATAAAGCTTCACATAATTGGATAAGTTGGGATCGCAGCAACACCACATAATCCCTTAGGCAAACCAGCATCCTTCTCCAGCCTCACATACCCACGTTCACCCCATGAAGTCCCCCATGAGTTCCTCACTATCCAATACTTGCTAGAATGATGCACCCGTCCGTAACCAACCACAACCACAACATGGTTCAGACTATTTGTACACGGTCCTTTGTACACACCTGACTTGTAAAACTGAAATTTTTTTGAATTGGCATCGATATACACGGTCACAGGTTGTTTTGCAACTGCTTCCATCAGCGCTGCCTCGGTTGAGGTCACATATTCGAAACCGCTAATGTTTACTACGGTTTGTTTTGCCTTGATCACGTCACAAGGGTTATCGAGTCCGTTGTACGGGTAATTTGCTGCGGTCGTGAGGCCGCCATTGTCCTTTATGTAAGTGTAGGATTCGCGGGGCCATCCTCCGCCACACCCCAAGTTTGTCTTTGAACAGTCCACGAGTTGTTGTCGCGATAGCTCGTAGAGTATGCCGTTCTTGATTTTGTGAAGGCTTTCGACTGCTGCAGCTGTGGCAAATGCCCAACAAGATCCTGTATTTTCGACATGTGTAGGCGGCTTTTCTTGTTAGAACTTGAGTGAATGCTATTCATGCTTATGCGCTCTTGGGCAGGTAAAACTAGACAAAAGAGTATTTTTGCTAATGAAAATTGCGACTAATGTTGTAAGGAGAGATTTTCTGATAAACCCTTAAAGTTAGTGTTTTTAGATAACCCCTAATTAGTTAAGGGGGTTTTCTGCTATTTTGAAAGTTAGGGGGGGGGGGTTAATGGGGGCTTTATGCTATTTAGGCAAAAAAAAATAAAAAAGAAAAGAACGATAAAAAGAGTAAAGAGAATAACAAAAAACTTGTTAGAAACATTTCTTACCGCATTTGTAACCTTGATGCTTGACGGCGGTAACCGCACCCTTAGCTCTCCAATCAACACTAGAAGGAACAGAAGAAATTTGAGGCTCCATCGATATCATAGTATTGTATTCCGAAGACCGGAATGAGTCATTAACTCCATTAATAAAAGTTTCCGTGAACTCTTCAAGCGTGAGATCAGCGAATTCATTTACACCTAGAGTGTAATTATAAAATCCACCATTGTTGAATTCTTCTATGTATTTCACATTATCCTTAAATATCTCAAATCTCGCTGCTTTTTCTACCTCATCTTTGTAAACACGTCCATGCTCGGCCATCCACAGTTCATGTTTCCTCTTCATTGCAAAATCCAGAATGTTGTAGTCAGTCGCATTACATAATCTTGCAATAATGAGGAAAAGGAAAAGAACATAACAACATGCAAAAGCCATTAAGGTTTTGGAGCATAATTAGGCTTAGTGTTGTACTAGTTTTCTTTGTGATGGTGGAATGAGCAATGTTAATTAGGTGTGCTTATATATATAGCCAAGCTTGTCGAATGAATTAAAACGTTATGTCAAAGAAACAAAAAGAAAAAGAAGAATCCTATGGAGAGGGGGTCCTCTCAAAAATCACATATATAGGGAGATAAATATCATACAGGGACCTAAAGTATGCACATATCTTGTTTGACAACAATATCGATGCGTACATCAATATTATATATATATCAACTATAAGAGCAATTAACACAGCTTATTTAGTGCATATACATCACTATGAATGCTATGAATATATTCAGATATTAATGACTATCAGTTAGTCTTGTGCACTAATATATATGATACTGACTACCTATAATCAGAAGTGATGTGTAGATATCAAGATTGATATTAGGCTAAATGTTCCACCCTATCTTGGCACATCATTTTCTAAAGCGGGCAGTCTTTTTTGTTTTTCCTTTGAAAATGGGCTAGAATAAATTATTTGAATCAGCACATGCAGATGAGAAAGACATTAATTATTAACAATTTATTGTTTAATTTTTGTTGCTTTTTTCAGCTTTGTAAACCAACACATCTTTATTTGAACTAATATTTTATAGGTTCTGGAATTCTCTAACTGGATCATAGCAAATTGAAGCATCGGATTCTAGCAAATTAAATGATACAACAAGATGTGAGAGTATTTCGATATGGAAATAAACTACAGATAAAACAAAATTAGAAGCACATTTTTCGATAGATAAAATCAATTCTTAATTATGCAAAATGGTGGACGACTTCTCAGAGTAGTTTTTGAGATGCTTACAAACAAGGCTTTCGGTCTAGATGGCATGTCGCCATGGTAGTGATGTATGCAATGCGGTAAGGTATTTTTCTTTTCCTCGAATTCTATTAAGAAGCCGGCCATAAATAATACACGTATTGCCTTGATTCAAAAATGTTGCAATCCTTAGGTTGTTTCAAATTATAGACCTATCAGTCTCTGTAATGTGATTTACAAGACTATTACGAAAGTAATGGCTAATGGGCTGAAGTCTATTCTCGCCGTAATTATTTCACCACAATAATGTTGGGGAATCCGAAACAATCAAATCGGATCTTTGCCTTTCCGTACCTTGTGTTGAAATTAGGAAAATAGGAAAATTCACCTCAAATAAAGATCAAAAACTTGCAGGAATAATAAAGGAGACGAACACACAGATTTAACGAGGTTCGGCAACGTGCCTACGTCCTCGGGAGCCACACCACACAATTCCTTTATTGATTAAAGAAGAATTACAAGCTCTAAAACTAGGGTTTTATCTCTCTGAGATTCTCTCTCTTTTCTACAATCAAAAACTCTCTTTTTTCATGCTCTATCAAACCCTAAAACGTTTGGGTATTTATATCAAACTCAGCCCAAACAAAATTCCTAAACAGTTTAGTAAACTGTCAAACAGCGTCACGGACGACAGTGGCGGTCGACCGCGCAGGTATTGCGGTCAATCGCACACCAGTTGTGGTCGACCGTATCAAACGACAGAGACTTAAATCGATTACAGGGTTGGCGCGATCGACCGCCACGGTCGACCGCCTTCGGATCCAGCTCCTCCTGAGCTCCTATGCACGTTCTCAGTCGACCTCCGTAGACTCGCGGTCGACCATGGATCTATCTCGCTGTTTTTCTTCCTCGTTTTGATTCCAGCTTGGCTTCAACTTTGGGTCTATACTTTCGACTAACAATCTCCCACTTGGAGACGAAAGTGCCTTCAGTGAGTTCGCCCGAAATCTCCCCTTCTTCACATGTATCTTCTCCTCCCCGGAAAAAAAATTCTTTCTTCAATCAACAATATCCAGGCGATCTTGTCGATCCTCGTAGTGTGGCTTCGCCTTCGTCTTCTACTCGTGAAGTCCAACTGAAGTTGCGCACAACTCCAGTTTCTCTATGGTGACTGCCTTCGTCAACATGTCCGCCGGATTTTGACTCTCCAAAATCTTCATTAAATGTAACTTTCCGTCTTCAACTAGCGAGCGTATAAAATAGTATTTGACGTTGTAGGCAATAAAAATTGCCTTTAAATCCTTATCAGAGAAGTTCAGAACAAAACTGCTAAAATCTCACCCGAAATAGCAAAAGGGGGTAAAAACATTGATAAAAAGGGGAAAACGCAGATATCTTCCAAACCGTAAGGAATTTGGCGAAACGGAGGAAGCGAACCAAAGCCTTTGGCTAGGTTCGGATGGCCCCATCTCGTCGAGATAGGCGATTTTCATATATAATTCGTCCAATTCCGACTTACGGTTTGAAAGTTACGGCCTATTCTTCGATCCATGCTCAGGAGCTCGCCTGCAGCTCGAATTTCGTCTGCACGATCAAGACCCAAGTTTGCCTGCGCACCTGAGCTCGCCTGCAGACCTAGTTCGCCTGCTAGCTCGCCTGCAGACCCAAGTCTGCCTGCGCACCTGAGCTCGCCTGCAGACCGCCTGCTAGCTCGCCTGCAGACCCAAGTCTGCCTGCGCACCTGAGCTCGCCTGCAGACCCAGTTCGCCTACAAGCTCGCCTACTGACCCAAGTCTGCCTGCGCACCTGAGCTCGCCTGCAGACCCAGCTCGCTTGCAAGCTCGCCTGCAGACCCAAGTCTGCCTGCAGTCCCAAGCTCGTCTGCAGACCCAAGTTGCAGACTCGCCAGCTCACTGTCAACTGCCCACTTGGAGTATGGGAACCGTTACATCAGTGGTCAAATCCCACAAATCAAGGGAGAGGGCACAGTACCCTAAGACCGTCAAGCGGCCGCTCACAGTACGAAGGATTGGGCAGGTGTCGAGTCGACCTGAATATTCATAAATGCAGCTCACCTCCGCTGTCTGAGTCAAGAGCCGGATCCGCCAGCACCCGGCGAGCTGTCCAAGCCCACTCGAGTACCAGGAACCCGCTTTCCCACCTCTCTCGACCTGAAAAGAGAAGGCACAGTACTCCAGGCCCGCCGAATGGCCGCGCACAGTACGAGTGATCGGACAGGTGCCAGATCAACCTGTGCGTTCATAAATGCAACTCAGCTCATCGGTCCAAGTCAAGAGCTGGAACCGCCAGCGCACAGTGAGCTGGCCCAATCCACTCGAGTAATGGACGGCCGCTGTCTCACATACGAGGATGGACCTTCCCGCTCCTAGGCGACAGGACGTGAAGCACAACCCATCGAGTGACGGTTCGTAGTACAGAGGAGCGACAAGATGTCTCTCAACAGTGTATGGTCACATCTCATGATTCAAGGAGCGGCCACGCCATCTCTCCTCTATTTAAGAACCTCGCCCGGCTACAGGAAAGGGGTTCACACATAGTTAATTAATTAATTTAATCAGTTAACTGAACCACTGGCTCTCGACTCCCAACGGAGTCGACGACAAGCTCTCTGCATCACTTTTGCATTGCAGCGCCACTTCCTAGTTCTGAGCCCCGATCGCCGGTGAACTAGAAGACCCAAACTCCATCGAACCTAGTTTCTACTGTGTACTGAAGCTCCGGCAGCAACTTCGATCGGACCGTCCAAGGGAAGCAGACTCGGCATGAGCACCGAGCGAGGCATCCTATCGCCACCGAAGAACCCACGCAAAACAAAGAGGGCATTCCCTCTGCTTCTGTTGTAAACATTTGATTATTAGTTTGTAATGAGCTTTCTTATCAATACAAACGAAGTTCCCTATTTTCGGGAGATCAAAATTTACACCTACAGAAGATGGCGACCACAGTGGGAGAATCCGTTCATTCAGATGAATTGGTGGTGGCGCAGTCTGACGAAGTTGCTGCAGGGACTACTGTTGAGTCCCTTGTGATCGAATTCGAGGGGTACTTACGATCGTCCTCTTCCGGCGGCAATACATCTCGCGAGGACTACAGAGTCCTGCGGGTGGCCCAGCCCCAAGGGGCTGAGGCAACCAAGCTTGAGGGATCTACCCAAGCCGAGGCAGGGGGGTCTTTTCCCCCCGAACCAGTTGAGGCCGAGACGAGATTCGAGAATGCAGCTCTAGGGGCTGCTGAGTGGGTCGATGAATGATCCTCGCAGACCCCTGTGCAAAAGGAATCGACCATTCGTGTCGACGCAGACTACGCCTCCGCCGTCGACATGAACGCTCCTCGTTCAAAAAGATCCAAACAGCGGCGACGAAAAGCTCTCGCTCGTCTCGAGGCACAATCCCTCATCCTCCACGACAGCCTGAATTATTATTCAGGCTTGAGAGGAATCAACCTCTTGAGTCAGGTTCCCATTTTTGGCGAACCGCTCAAATCGGGCGAGCCTAGCAGTTTAGGCGAGCCCATCTCTTTGAGCTAGGTTCCCAGTTTCGGCGAACCGCTCAAATCAGGCGAGCCTAACGGTTTAGGAGAGCCCCACTTCTTGAGCCAGGTTCCCAGTTTTGGCGAACCGCTCAAATCGAGCGAGCCTAGCAGTTTAGGCGAGCCCCACTTCTTGAGCCAGGTTTCCATTTATGGCGAACCGCTCATGGCGAACCGCTCAAATCGGGCGAGCTTAGCAGTTTAGGCGAGCCCCACTCTGTGAGCAAGGTGCTCAATTTTGGCGAACCAAGGGCACCTGGCGAACTCTGCAGTTTAAGAGGGCTTCGTCAAACAAGCGAACTTCACCAAGCTCGCCTGACGGCCCAAGATCGCCAGAAAGGCGAAGCAACAGCTCGCCAGACAGGCGCAGGCACACTGTGCCAATCTCGCCTGACGGGCGAACCTCGCCAGCATGAACCTCGCCAACACGCTCACGCCCAAATGGGGGTGGCCACCTCGTTTGCCTGCACGGGTCTGACGTCCGTCTCTGACGACGACGACGATTGCTCAGCAGTGGCAATGTCGGAGACTTCAAGCTCAGTTCAGGGCAAGCACACAAATGTGCACATGACTGACATCCCTGAGGAGATGTCTAGGAGGCTCGACGAGCAACAAGCAACCATCGACTCCCTGAAGGAGATGTTGGAGCAGCTCCTGAGCGAGAAGAAGAGGAAGAG